ATGCGGACAAGGTGCCGCATACATGTCTAGAGATGGGCTCCTTCTGGTGGCGAGATGTGATGAGGCTCAGCACCATCCATAGGGGCATTGCAAAATGCACCCTTGGAGATGGCTCCACAGTTACCTTCTGGGATGATCTCTAGTTGGGCTCGGTACTATCTTAAGAGTATCCGCGGTTGTATTCCTTCGCAAAAAATAACACTATCTTAGTCCGGGACATGATGACGGAGGAGGACCTAAGTGCAGTCTTTACACTGCCCTTATCGGCACAAGCTTATGATGAGATGATGCAACTCCAAAGCCATCTAGAGAACCTAGAATATGATGATGCTTCCAATGACTCCTGAGCTTGATTTGGGGGGCCAGCTACTCCAGCCGCAGATTCTATACCTTTGCATTTAGTGGCATTGAGGTGCATCCCTATTACAAGATCCTATGGAAGTCTCGATGCACTCCAAGGATAAAGTTTTTTGCATGGCTCGTTCTGATGGATCGGTTAAACACCAAGTCAAATGTTAAGAAGGCGAAATATTAACATCCATGACGACACCTTGTGCATCATGTGCAACTATGGAGCCGAAGAAGATATTGATCATCTTTTCTTCCAATGGCCTTTCGCGGGACAATGCTGGGCAACCATTGGCTTCACGTGGGACATCAGCCTTTCATTGCCAGAACGTCTTGCAAGTGCCTATCAAGACCATGACCTGGAATTCTTTATGGAAGCCTCCCTCATAGCAGCCTGGGAGCTTTGGAAACTTTAAAATGACAAGGTCTTTCAGAGAAGGGATCCTACTCATAGCATTTGGTTAGCCAATTTCAAGAATCAATGTCTTTTGCAATCGCTTAGGTTTAGGGATGACTTGAGGTCTTCCTTTTGTTTTTTGCTTGATGCTTTCAATTAAGACAGGTTTGTAAGCTCTGTACCTTTGTACTTCTTTTTATAATATATTAAAATCTACTATGGGGATCTCCCCCACAGTCCTTTGTAAAAAAAAAAAATTGTATTAGGCATGGACTCTTTGCTCTAATCTAGGCTATTGGATCATAAGAGATAAAAAAGATCATAAAAAATCTAATTGTGTAAGTTTTTTCTTTTGTTTTTGGGTCCTCTTGGCATATGTATATATTGTACTTCCTCCATAACATAAGTCGTTTTGGCTTTTCTAAATGCATAGCTTTTGCTATGCATTTGGACATACACTATGTCTAGATATATAGCAAAAGTAATGTATCTAAAAAGTTAAAACATCTTATAATTAAGAACTGAGGAAGTATTAGACATGAATTATTTGTTCTAGTCTAAACAATTAGATCATCATAAGATCTAATGGTGCAGTGGGTCCTTTTATTTTTCAGTTATTGTCAAGTTCTAGACAATCTCGGCAAATATAGTGGTTCTGGATAGATTTTTTTTATTTGTCTTTTCCTCTCCTTTTTACTTTAGTGAATTTAGTTAAATGTAGTCACGTAAACTTGTCCGTTCCTCATCTCAGAGACATACTCACTCCGTCTCTAAATAACTATCGTTGGCGCTTTTTGAGAAATAACTTTGACTAATTTTATATAAAAAAAATTAATATTTATGGTACATAAGTAATATCATTAGATTGATCGTTGAATCTATTTTCATAACAAATTTATTTAGAGATATAAATGTTGCACGTATTTTATATAAATCTAATTAAATTTATGACAGGAAAAAAATAACAGTTATTTAGAGAGGGAGGGAGTAGACTATAAATTATTTGGTCCTTGTAGGTGCATTACTCCGTAGGAGTATCTATCTCAGTCAATCCATGACTTTGTTGATGTGACCGGTCTTGCGTTGCTTGCCACAAGCGTCATGCCATGACCTCGTGTAGCTAACATTTTTTTGTCTGCTTCCTCAATTTTCGTAACAAATTTAGTCAAGCATAGCTCGTCATCAAACTGTTAGGATGACTAAGGTGCATGGTCCAAAACCCGGTTCATGTGTCCTACCTTATTATTTATAAGTTTTCGTTCTTGCTAGAATATGACATCTACAATCTCCTTGATATATGTCTTGCTCCGCTCTTTGACTAATTTTATAACTTAGTGCAGTTCAACAACAGTTTTTTTATGCATGGGCTTTGATGAAACATATAATAATCAAGATTCACAATGTTAGTAAGAGGGATCATCATTCGTATCTAATTTGGTCATTTTTCCTTGTAATGCAGACAAAGAATCATTTGCATATAGGTATACAATAAGCCATTTCTCCATGCATTAAAACCTATATTATGTCATGTTCTATTCCTAGATTACTTCATCTTAGGCTTGGGTTGACGCCTTTTGTGAGAGTCATTTTGATGCATAGAAATTAAATAAGGTTCCTACTCTTATTGTTCATGTCACATGTAGATATTTTATTGTCCTAGGACAATTTTGTCATGAATTAAGATTAGATTAATGTCTATGGTACTATTTTTATTTTAATAATGATATTATCAAGAAACCTCATAGCAACATATGTAATGTAGCTTACATGGTTATGTACTTATTATGTCTTGTGGAGTTCAAGTCCTAAACTCAGCACATGTGGTCACATTGTTTTCAAGATTTATTTTCAAAAAAATAACGCTATACATTTAATAGTAGGAGATATGCTCAGTGACACCAAGGTGTTTGGTGACTTCATCAATCTAAGTGCATGCATGTTTGTGAGTGCCTATGTCTGTACTTTGTCTAAAAAAATAATCTTGTAATATATGCATCCAGTCTTAATTCTTTTGAATACAACTAAGGTGAGAGGTGATCTAATAGAAGGAATGGATTATAAGGTATATGCTACTAAATCTGAAACCCTAGCTCATGTTCTTGAACCAGTGTGTGGTATGGCTACGATAAAACAACATTGTAATGTGTAAACCGGTTTCTCTTACAAAAAAATCCATGACCTACGCAAGGAGTATCTACATAATCATCTAAAGTGGGCATAGTCAATAATTAGTGTACTCCTACAAATGTCAAAACTCAGTGGGTTTCTGGGCCTGACTAGCTGCTACAGGAAATTATTAAAAAATATAGCATGATTAGAAAACTACTCACTCTGATGCTAAAGAACGATTGAAGTTCTTGTGGACACTAGAAGCTCAACAGGATTTCATTCTACTCAAAATAGCTCTGAGTAAGGCATCAGTGTTAGCAGTGCCAAACTTCAACCAAATATTTGTGCTTGAAACTGATGCCTATGACCTTGGGGTTTGTGTAGTGCTTATGCAAGAAGGGCGTCCGGTGGCTTATTTAAGTAAACCCCTCGTCAACTGAAAGAACTTAGCTCTCTCTGTCAATGAAAAAGAGTGCATGGCTATATTATGACTAGATAAATGGAGACCTTACGTGCAGCATAATGCATTTGTGATAAAAAGGCATATCACAAGAGCTTGCTTTACTTGAGTGACCAAAGAATCACATCTAAGTTGCAACACAAAGCAATGGTAAAGCTCATGGATCTAACATTCTTTATTCAATACAAGAAGGTGGCCATAAATATGGTTATTGATGCTCTATCCAGATGTAAACTTGACAACTCAGTGTGGGTTATCAATGAATGTATTCAAGCATGGGTGGGAATTTTGATTCAATGGTATCAGGATGGCGAACTGGCCAAACAATTGTTAACTAGATTAAGCCTCACAACCACTAATTCCCAAGCGTATACTCTACATCAAGCTTATGAGGTGGCCGAGGCAAGGGCCCCAACAGAACCTACGCGAAGACGAAGGTTGCCTATGGTCGCTGCTTTAGACATGAAAATTCTAGCCAGAGGGTGGAGGTGTTGGGAAGGGCACTTCATTCTGTGGGGAAATCACCTAGTACTTGAAATACCATTGCCGTCGCCCCTGGTATTGGTAAATGGGCTGGTATGCGCCTTAGATCAGTCTCAATGGAGTTTCATGGGTATTAAATAAGCTACTATGTCATAGTATTGATGAAGAGAGATAGATAAAAGTTTTATGGGATGAAATGAGTCTCGTAAGCTCTTGAAACAGTAACATAAAACCCCAATCTTAGTGGAGAAGAGGAGAGTGGGTCATTGCCATGTATTGAGCTTGACCAAATCCAGAGAGTACCGTGAGTATATATAACACCATAGGCGGTTGTAGCCGGTGAACAGGAGCTTAAACTCTATTCTGAAATCTCAATTTCCTTGGCTCCCAAGGTTCTTCTGTGTTTCTTTTCAAAAAATTCTCTCCCAAATTCCTGCCGTTCTGCCCAAATTCTGATTCCGGTTGCTAGAGTGGTTTCAACGCCGTTTAATTTCTCTACTGTACGTGGATTTTCTCTTGCCAACGGTCCATTATCAAGTCGACGGGAAATTGGATTGGAAGATTCGTGGAGGGCGCGTGGGTAGGATTTCTTCGACTTCGACGCTACAGCAGCCAACCGTTGGGTCGTTGGTAGACTAGTACACTGAACGGGAGGTACACGACTACACGAGGACCGAGGTGAATATGCCTAGCCTAGCCTTATCTGACCTGAGCCACGTACGCAATCTGAGTAGCAGGCGGCGGCGACAGCAGTGCTGCACACAGGCGACAGTCCATTCCGTCCGCTTCTTCACGGTCCAGCGGTCGTCTCTCTATAAACACCGCACACACGGGTGCTACTCTGAATCCCGATGAGACACCTCGCCGCCACGGTCTTCCTCCCAACCAAAATGGCGGCAGCCAAGAATCACAGCCACCCGGCCACTTATCGGCTTTGCTTCCTCCTATCCATGGCCACGCTCTCCTCAGCCGTCTCTGCCACGGACTCTCCCCTGTGCAGCATCCCTCCCCGCACCAGGCCATGTGTCCGCCGGCAAGGACACACTGCCACTCATCCACTCCTTCCAGCTCAGCTCCGGCTACTTCTTCGGCGGCGAAGACATCCACTTCGCTAAAGATGAGAGCGACGACCGCTTGTTTCATCCTCCCCGCTCGTTCACCTTACTGCCACTCCAAGTCCAGAGCACCACCAATTCCACCGTCATGCACGTCGGCGCCACGTTAACCCTCTCCGGCCGCCGCGCGTTCCACACCGTGGCGGCCCATCGGCGAGATCGCTTCGCGGGAGGTGCCCACTCCGTCTCCTTCCACCTCGACGGCTACTACTCCTCCACCTCCGAGGAGCTTTGCATGCTCGGCTCCGGCACCTACTCTATGGGCGACGGCTGGCCCAAACACCTTCCGGACGTCGTCCTCCGCCTCCGCTTTCCCAGCCCGCCCAGCCTCAAGGACCCCTTCGTCACCGGCGAGCTCAAGGGCGCCGGCTTTGATGCCATCACCCTCATCTCTTACGCCGAAGGCGACAGCTACGAGTACGGCCAGCGTGCATCCTGCCCGCCGTTGCAGCCGCCTCCAGCCGTGAGAGGTGCGCTCCAGGTGCTAGGTGCCAGCTTCTCGTGCGCTCATCTCAGAGAGCAGCTCGTGAGCTCGTACAAGCTGCAGCACGTCGGTAGCGTGCCCGCGTCGAGCACCTCTCCTGCGTTTCTGCGGCTGCCGGAGCCGCGCATGCACGTTGGCCAGGTGCAGTGCACCGCGGACGGCGCCGTGCGCCTGTACGCGACGTTCTCCAACAACACGAACCTGTGGGGCTGGGGCGTGCGGTACCTGCGGCCAGGCATTTGTGGTCAAGGAGGCAGCGGTCGTCGCCGAAGGGCGCTGGGACTCGACACAGAGCACGCTCTGCCTCAGGGCGTGCCGGGTGGTGCGCTCGGGGCCGACGTCCCTTGCGGTGCAGGAGCAGCAGGACTGCGGCATCGGGATGAGCTTCTGGTTCCCGGCCGTCTGGACGATTCGGGAGCGGAGTATTGTAGCCGGAATGCTTTGGAACTCGAGCCAAGGGACTGCTGCAACTGCAAGCAACGCCGCCGCCGCCGCTGCCGGTGCGGTATCGGCGTCGAGCATCGACTTCGACATCAACAGAGACACCTTTTCAGACGTCAAGTACACGTACACTAGGGTGGACGAGGCAAAGCAGCGTTATTTCGCTGATGTGCTGAGAAGCCATGAGAACAAGGCTAATAAGGGGACTTTCCCGTCTGCCAGCTATTCTTACCATGACTTCCAGTTTCGTTTCCACATGGAGAACAGAGGGTCGGAGCTTGGAGAAGCCTACCCCGTTACGATTGGCTCGGCTATAGTCGACGGGGATAGGCTACCAGCCGGCGGTTCTTTCAGCTCCTGGCATGCCAAGGTCGACATAGAGCATGAGCTGCTGAAGGTCAGCTACGACATATACACACGCCATCTTCCTCCACGTGTGAATTGGATGAACATGTCGTCCCCGGTTTCTATAGAAGAACGCCTGATCACAGCGGAGGGTGTTTATGATCCTAAGAAGGGAGTCCTGTGCATGATCGGCTGCCGAGAGCTGGAAGGCTCCACTGACTGCCAGATCTTGATCACCGTTCACTTCGCCTCGCTCGATGCAAAGGCGCAGGGCCACGGAAGGGGAGTGATCAGCAGCCTGAGAGCCAAGACAGACCCTCTCTTCTTCAGCAAGATGGACATTGCTCTGTTCGGGATGTACGCCGAGCAGGTGTCCGCGTCGATCTCGCGGATGGACCTGGAGAGCGTCATGCTGGTGGTCTCCACGACGCTGTCGTGCATCTTCACGGCCCTGCAGATCCTCCACGCCAAGAGGAGCCTCGAGGCGTCCGCATCCACGTCCATCACCATGCTCGTCGTCCTGGCCATGGGCTACGTTGCGCCACTCGTGATCAGTTCCGAGGCTCTGTTCGTGAGCAGGGGAACCGAGTACGCGCCGTTCCAGAGGAAAGTGCCGTACGAGCTGAAGCAGGCGATGCTGAGGGTGCCCACGCTGATCGCGTTCGTACTGCAGCTACGCCTCCTTCAACTAGCCTGGTCTGCCCGGAGATCGGCTGCCGGCCGGAGCAAGGACGGGACGTCGGCGGCGGCGGCAGCCGAGAGGAGAGCGCTCTGGGTATGCCTGCCGCTGTACCTGCTCGGCGGGGCACTGACCATCGTTCTTCACATGGCGAACACCCGCCGTGCCGCGCGGGAGGATTCCCTCGCCGTTCGCGTCGGCCCAGAGCCAGCCACGCTATGGGAGGACCTCGCCTCGTCCGCGGGGCTGGCGCTGGACGGGTTCCTTCTCCCTCAGGTGGCCATGAACGCGTTCTCCGGTGGCAAAGTGAGAGCCGTCTCGCCGTGGTTCTACGTCGGCGGCACAGTGGTTCGCGCGATGCCTCACGTCTACGATGTGGTCAGGAGCCAGGGTTACGTGCCGAGCTTGAAGCCGTCGAACGTGTACGCGAGCCCTCTGGACGATCGGTTTGGCGTCGCATGGGACATCGTTGTGCCGTGCGGAGCAGCGTTGCTGACCGTGCTGCTGTTCCTTCAGCAAAGGCTTGGTGGCACTGGCACTGGGACCTTCTTGTTTCGTTCGGGGAGAACAGGGGAATACCAGATGGTCTCTACCTTTTAACTGGAGCATTTCGGATGACCCAATTTAGATGGTTGGGAGAGATCGGTCTCGATTTGCATTCAAAATTATCTTATCATCGCAAAATGCGGCATTTCTTTGTCGATATCGGTTTCATTAGTAGTGGTATAGCAAAAATATAGCTGATCACCGATAAATTTGCATGTACTTTTTAGATGATTTTATTTTCTGATGCAATCTTCAAGAAAAGATGGGATATAAATTTAAAGCAAATAAATATATTTTTTCTAATTTATTTTTTTCTTAGCGAAAATTTCTTTCCCTGGGTCAGTTGCATCCTCGATCTTGACCTTTTCTTTTGTCACTCGCTCCCCTATTCTTCTCGCTTTCAAGGTCGGCTCTCACTCTCACTTCTCTTCGGCTTCTTGGCTCAATCGTTTGGAGCTACAGAACCACACGACACGAGCTTGTGGATCATCTTCTATCTTTCTCAACCTCACAGTAACTACACAATAGCCACCTATAATGTATTTAAGCTGAATTAATCTTCAATCAATTTTCTATATGAGATTAATTCTTTCTTGCACATAGTTATACTGTTTGTTATTATAAGCGTGGGCTGATTTTCTTACGTAGTGGGTTTAGTTGGACTTCCATTTGGGTGTACTTCCCCCTTCCTCGCTTCTGTCCGCTATCTGTTATGTTATGGCACGGTGGGACACCAATCAACCTTGCAAACTATTCCCTTCACGTTCCTAAAGAAAGTCGTTTTGAGGTTGTCTTAAGTCAAATAATTTAAACTTTGACTACAAATAAATTCTTTAGATTGAGTTTGAAAATATGAAAGTGATGTAAGTAAATTCATCTAGAAACATAGTTTTATAAAAGTATATATTGACTATATTTTATAGAAAATGTAGTGGTCAAAGTTGTTTTTGAGACCGTGTCGATATCAAAAACGACTTCCTTTAGGGACATGGAGGGAGCAATTTTTTTCCGTGTCACCGTCATTCTGTCTGTTGTTTTTTTCCTTCTCTTTGTTTGTTTTCATTTCTTTTGTCGTTTTGCCCCCCTTTTCTCCTCTTCATTTTGTCGGGTTTTTTATGTTTTCTTCTCGCTTTGTTTGTTTTCATTTCTTTCATCGTCTTGCCCTTTTTTCTCCTCTTCCTTTTGTCGATTTTTCTTTTTTCTGTGTCTTTTCTATAATAAGGGAAAAATAGAAGAATTTAAGTGTCAAGATAGGGAATTGAACTTATGACCATAGCTTTATATGAGACATAGGGATTTCACCATCAAACTACTGTCGTGTTTGTGAGTTTAATGCACAAATCATCCAATTTAATTGTTAGATCATGGTTAACATACCTAATCTATCTATCTATATACCTAATATAAAATAGATAATGGATTCTTTTAACCGTCTTTTTTTAATTCCCACAATACCCTCAGGCCCCTCCTTATCCCGTATGTGACCTGAACTCATGACCCGTGCTCATACGAGTTAGAACTACATGCTTCACGTGTTTAGCGACGTTGTACAAATTCTGATTTCATGATGTATTGTTTAAATCTCTGAGCCACAAATCGTTGTGAAGACAACACAATAAGTTGTATACTTCATTGTAACATACAGGCATATTTACCCATTATATTAAGAAAAATAAGAACTAGTAAAGAAAATACCATGTCAGCAATCAAATTTGACAAAGTCTTCACCTCCGCCACATCCATCGTAAAGCCATGGCGACATTGTTTTGTCTTTTGTCACCATTGATCATTCCATTAGTGTAAACAAGGATAAAAATATAGCCAACCAAATTTTTGATGAGCCCAGATCTCTTAGTGGCTCCTAAAAACCATAATAGTCATTCGACCCAATTCCCAAACAATGTATCCCAAAATTGCTAGAAGAACGTTAGGGAGGCCACGCTTTGAGCCCAATCCAAATATACTCTTGCGCTGCCATCCATCAACGCAACCACAAGCCTCAAAAACATGTCATCAACGTCGGCACACCATGGTTGAGGTAGAGAGAAAGCAACAGGACCGCAAAAAACGTCAACATGAACTACAGCCAAATTACAAAGCTAGGGATACAAAACCCATTGCCAATCACGCGCTCTCCATGGAAGCAATCACTAGAGTAAGATGATCAAGTGACAAAAACAGAAGATCCACCATCACTGTCTCTATTGTTGAAACCCATGAAAAACAAACATTTTATTTGGATGACACCCTAAACAACTCCTAGATCTACTAAAAGAGTAGAATCCCGCTACTACTCCTAGGTCTTGTCGCTAATTTAGCACAATCTAATCACCACTGATACATAATAATAGATATTGGATGTATTTGTTTTCTTAAAAATTACCCATGTTTGGGAGGGGGGGGGGGGTGGAGGGGGAGGGGGAGCACCTTCGACGCACCACCCCATCCTAGCTCCCAAAGGTTGAGCCATCGACCGCACGTTTCCTTTACGTCCAAGGAAGCTGCTGGCATGTCTCTTTGGAAAATTTCAGACATTAGCCAGCTGCAGGCCAAATAAAGGTGACACTGTTCTTTTCTGGTCACAAGTGTGGATATGTCAGGATCAAGCTGACTTATACCCACACCTATACTCCTTCACCAAAAAAAAACCCAAATGCTCAATATAGTACTTCACTGAACAAGATGACAGTAGACTATTCAGTTTGCCCCTCTCACAACAAGCTGCAAATCAAATGGAAGAAATTGAAAACTACATGCAGGAATCAAATTTTGATGAATATCACAATGATATTTGGAGTTACAGTTGGGGATTTCCAAAGTTCAGTAGCAGCAAAGCATACAAGATCCTGCAAGGGCACACTGAAGCATCACCCCTCTTTTCATGGCTTTGGGCCTCTAGCAACTTGGGAAAACATAAATTTTTCTTCTGGCTGCTTCTTAGGGACAGGTTGAATACTAGAAATCTTCTGAGGAGAAAAAATATGGAACTTGAAGACTACAGCTGTGTTTTATGCAATACAGGACATGAAGAAACAAGCTTTTTCATCTCTTTTTTGAATGCCCCTTCAGTCAATCCTGCTAGAATATGATTCCTATTAGTTGGAACCTGAACTTACAACCACTTTGACATGATAATAGAAGCCAGAGAGGCATTTGGGAATAGCATATTCAAAGAAGTTTTCATCACTGCTTGTTGGATCATTTGGTTGACCAGAAATGGAGTTATCTTTGATAATGGACAAATCAATATCAATGCAAAAAAACAATTCAAGGGAGAACTTGGCTATATGTGTACAAAAGCCAAACTAGCAAGACAAACCAAGCTCAATTTGTGGAGAGATAGCTATACATGATGTAATTTTCTCTTTTTTCTCTTGGGCCTAGTTGCCTTGTAAATCCTTAACTTGTACTGTCATTCTTTCATTTAATTGAAAAGCAAAAAAAATGTAGGTAGGGGGCTCCCCAGCTGATTGGGTAAAAAAAGCTACTTGCATGTCTCTATCCGCCGAGGCCCAAGGATGACCCTCGGCAAGGCCCTCGCCACCTTGCTCAGCGGCGCTCTTGGTGAAGGGTGTCGCGCTACCGCTCCTGACCTAGGTAACTTTGATCCTGTCATTGCAGGTCGAGCGTTGTTCGCGAGGTCTTTCGAACGAGAAGAAACCCTCACGGGTTGGCTCTGTGTGGTGAGGTGGAGGACGAAAGACGGTGGTCCCTAGAGACGGAACTCCCCGCGCCGTCAGAAGAGTAGTTGGAGTGGGTGCGTGGAATGTCTGATGTGCCCCTGTACTCTAGTAGAGTAACGCCGTGCCAGGCATGGGCAATTTGTAATTCCGTCGTGCCCAAGGGTATGCCATATAAATACCCGGTGGGTGGCATAGTAACAAATGATGAATTAATATCCATTTACTCCTAAATTTATTGTGATTCCCCCTTTGTCCTTCACCATCCAACCCTCACTTTACTTCTCCTGTGGGGCACGCTCGGCCTCCTCCGCGCTATTCCTTAGTGAGGGCAGAGACCAAGCGAAGCCCCCACAATCCACATCTGGAAAACAACATAAATCAGTCATCTAAATATACATCTAAGTTATCTACCCATATTATTATGAAACATAAGCTAAAAGAATTAAATTATGCACCATGCCTTTATGGTAAATAATCAAAGCAACCCTTTAATTTTGCATCTAAAATAGCACTTTTGCCTGTATAAAAAAGTAAACTAAAAATAAATCTGATCAAATCTACGTCTAATTAACAACACATATCATTATAATAATAATAGTAAAACATACATACTTTATTCCTTCGAATGTTTTTAAATTACCGAGTTTTATTATACTAAGCTAAGGAGGCATATATGCTCTGTGATCACGCATAGTCAAATGTACATGCTTGTACAAACGTAAATGTATATTTTGTGGCTTATGAATCGTGAAAAAAATTCCTTAATGAATCATATACCAATGACACTAAAAATTATCTTTACATAGCACTGTCCGTTAGTATTATGTCTTTTCAAACTAATGCTATGAGTCTATGACTTTGACCAAACCAAGTCAGCAGTCAGCACTCATCACTCATCAAAATTCCAAATCGCATCTATGGTTACAACTACCCCATATCTGCCCCGGCCCCAGAACATGCAGAACATGGCTATGGGGGCGGTGCGGTCTCTTTCTTAAGAGCAGAGGATATGGACTGTTTGACGTTTGCTTTGAAAAGTAAGCGATGGATCACAAGCCATAACTCAGAGTGCTTGCTGGAGGCTGGAGGTGTACTCATCCTCTCTGCTGAACCTTGGTGCGTGGTGTCATCTGCCTAACTGTGAACATGAGTTAAATGCATCCAAGGTCTATGTATCTGTACAGAGCTTTAAGTTAGGTTTGTCAACTCTAAAAGTTAATTTTAAGGTCCATAAAAAATTAAGTTATTCATCACAGGTTTTTTTTTCATTTGGCCCTTAGATCTAACGTGGCATACATAGTAGCATTTAAATTGTATTTAACCTCCTTTTCTCAACCCATCTCCCTTTCCTTGGCCTCCCGAGCTGCTGCC